ACTGGGGTGCATATATCTTTTTGAATTAGAGTTCTCTCTGGATATATACCCAGGAATGGGACATCCCTTCACTTTTAGGTTTTTGGGTTCTTAAAGCCAAAGTCAGTCTCTTACAGGCAGAAATAGATGAGTCTTGGTTCGGCTACTCTGTATCTTTTGGTGAGATAATTTAGTTCATTAACATTTCACATAATTATTAATAAACATGGACTTACTGACAATAATTTTGTTAATTGTTTTTTGGCTGTTTTGTAATTTCTCTGTTCTCTTCTAGTTATCTTCATTTGAAGATTTTTCTGAGTGGTATGCTTAGATTCCTTTATCTTTTGTGTGTCTTCTGTGGGGTTTTGTTTTGTGGTTACCATGAGGCTTACAGAAGACATCGAAGAGTTATAACAATCTATTTTAAACTGATAACAAGTTAAAAGGCATTCTAAAACTCGACATTTTTACTCTTCTCTCCCACCACATTTTATGTTTTTGATGTCACATTTGCATCTTTTTACCTTGAGTTAACATTAACAAACGTTTATAGTTATATTTTTCCTGTTTGGCCTTTTCACCTTCATATTGCCTTTGTAAGTGATTAACCCAGCACCATTGCAGCATTAGATTATTCCAAATTTAATTGTATATTTACCTTTATCGGGAAGATTTATACTTTCATATGTTCCCTCTTACTGATTAGTGCCCTTTTGTTTCAGCTTAAATAAGTCTTTTTAACATTTCTTGTAGGGTCAGTATATTGGTGCTGAACTCCTTCAGTTTTTGTTTGTCTGGAAAACTCTCCTTCAGTTCTGAAAAGGGCAACTTCAGTGCGACTACTTTTTATATGATTTGGTTTCCTGCAACTTTACTGAATTTGTTTCTTAGCTCTAACAGCTGCTTCTGGTGGAGTCATTAGGGGTTTTTATATGTAATATGTTCTTCAATTCTGTAGGACAACCTTGCTGGACAGATGATTCTTGGCTGGTAGATTTGTTTTTTCTTCTTTCAGGAGTTTGAATACACATCCCAGCCCCCCCTGGCCTGCACAGTTTCTGCTCAGAAAGTCAGCTGATAGTTTTATGGGGGTTCCCTTATATGTAAGACATTGTTTTCTCTTGCTGTTTCTAAGATTCTCTCCTTATCTTTACCTTTTGACAGTTAAATTATAACGTGCCTCAGTGTGAGTCTCTTTGTACTCATCCTTTTTGAAAACCCGGGCTTCCTGGATCTGGATGTCTGTTTTAACTTGTCAGGGTCCCAGAGGGGAGAATCATAGTCAGCACTGACACGCAGGCTGGTTGCAAGCTGGACCCTGAGGCAGCAGCTGGGAATGTCTGTAGAGAGGGAGAAAGGGGAGGTGGGCATTTTCGCCTGTTCCCTCTGCACTGGGTCCAGGAGTATAGCTGTGTGGCGGGGGCCAGAGGTGTGCTCCTGAGCCTGGTAAGAACTTTGTTTGCTACAGGAACGCAAATCCTCTTTGCTATCAGAACCAAGCGATTTGGGTGCCTGTCCCTTGGGTGGCAGCCGTAAAAGCTGGGGCTCAGACATGCGTACGCGGGAGGTAGCTCCAGGGAGATAACTAGCACACTGGAGGCAGGCCAGGGGGAGAGGGGAGGAGACGTGTCTGCTGGCCTCCCTGGTCTTCAGGGAGGATCACAGGCAGCCTCTAGGTGCGTGGTACGTCAGGAGGCTGACCCTCAGCAAGAAGATTTTGAAGTGTGCAAATCAAATCTTTCCATGTAAAGACTGGGAGATGGACATTCGTGTCTGCTCCTTCTGTGCTGACCCCTGGGGGAACAGCCAGTTTAAAATGGCTTCTGTCTTCTGTAATCCCGTGGGACTTCTGAATGGATGCTATGGTGGCTATCAGAACCAGGTGACCTGGGGACTCATCCCCTACCCTCAGCCACAAAGGCTGGGGTGCAGGCGTGCGTACAGGTTCCTTTCAGGGAGATGCTGGCAACCTGGAGCAGGCTAGAGGGAGTGTAGGGGTGGTGTCCGCTGGCTTCCCGGGCTTTGGGGAGGAGCGCAGTCAGCCCCCAGGTGTGTGCCCAGTTAGAAGCTTGACCCTCAGGCAACAGCTTTGTAAGTACCCAGATAGACGCCATTCAGGGAAGGACGGGGAGGTGGGTGGTTTTCTCTTGTTCCCTCTGCACTGACCCTGGAAGTGAATCCTTGTGCCCATCAATAACTGCTTCTTTGTCTGCTCTTGTCTAGTGCATCTGGTCGACTCCACCTCTACTGGCTTCCAAAGCTAGGTGTGTGGAGGCCCACCTCTCGGGTGGGAGTCTTAAAATCTGGGGCTGTAGATGTGGGGTCCAAACCCTTCACCCCTCAAGGAGAAGCTGGCCTTTGGGGACTCCCTCCCAACTGTCTGGCTCTGTGCCGTGGCCGGGGTCTATGGCAAGAGCCTGTCTCAGCCTTTCCTACTCATTTCGATGTACTTCTTCTCTTGGTCCCCCACTGAGTGCTCAGTCAGTGTCTGTCTCCCATGGGGACTTGCTCTGTGGGTAGCTGTTCATCAGGTGTGTCCATCGGAGGAGGGGAGTCCAGGAGCCTTCTTTAAAGATGGCCTCAATACTTTTTAAACTATGTTTTTTTTTTTCCTGGGATGGGTAAATCTGAGCATGGTTGGAGGATAAGGGCAGGATACCCCACAAAGAAAAGGCACTGAGTCCAAACTCATTCTGCTCCCTGTACAACAGGCCAATAAATTAAAAACAAACAAAAAACCAGGGGAGGGGGTGTGGTTCATTCTTGCAAACTTCTTGCTGAAAGAATTCTTTGTTCTTCCAGCAGTCCACATGGGCCAGGCCAGGGTGTTCCTGTAAACCTCCAACAAAACAAAGGTTATTCTCTATTTTGCAACTTGCCATCTCTACCTAAGGGCAGAAGTGCGAACATTCTTCTTAAAGGCCAGAGCCGAGACTAGGCTCTCCTGTTTACTTCAGGCTAAAGGCAACGCTGTTTCACAAAAGGTGCAGAGCTGGCAAGACTAAGCCTAGAAAGCAGGGCACAGGGTTAAAATGAAAGGAACAGATCCCCTACGCAGGCAGGTTCTCTGTTACAACAGAAGAGGGAACACGGGTGGAGCCAGGGACTGAGAGCCGCAGTATGAACTCGAGAACAGGGAAAGGGTTTGACACGGGTGTGGGCCAGAGGGGTGTGCCTTCCTCTGAGCTGGGAGGGAGGTGAGAAGGGGGCAAGGATCTCACAGCCATCAAGCTACTAGCCACTGCAGCCACCCCCAACTGTGCGAGAGAATGAGCCCAGGCTCTTGCATCTTCCCATCTGCAGAAAAGCACTCAATTCATTAACTTGAGATGTCTGTGTTTCCCATAATTAAGAGTAATCTTCTGATGTTCTGGCTACTTGCTTTTTTCTTTGTTTTTTTTGCAAAACCTCCCATATATCCTGGCTCTTCCCTTAACCTCTTCAGAACAGTTCCTTGGAGCTGAGAGGCTGCCTCCTGGGCTTACAGTCCTCAGTTTATTTGCCGAAAAAAACCCCTAATTCTCAACTTTTAGGCTGTGCATTTTTTATGTTGACACTAGGAAGGTGAGGAAACGCATTTCTGATGCACTGTATTTTCTTGGTTAATTTGAAGGAACAACTAACTACTGAATGTGAAAAAAAAAGGTGGTTTGGAAACAAAATGGAAAAGAGCTGGAATGTTGTACTGGAGATTGGAAAAGTGACAAGAAAATGATATGGAATCTCACCACTCATTTGTGACATTGCATTGGACCTTTCTGGTGAGAATTTATAATCAAAGTTATGATTGAGGGTCATACCCATGGAGTGTTTGCAGGGTGTTAGGCATCATGGTAAACCGCTATACGAGTAAGTTCAATCCTCCTAACAGCCTTTACCTTAGGATTATTTCCCCCATTCTACAGATGAGCGTGCGCAAAGAAAAAGGAAGGTGGTGTTGGATTTTTGGCTGGCTACCAGCGCTAGTTGGGTACAACAGACAGTTTAATCTCTTGAAGCCCCAGATTCCTCTTAAAAGAATGATGATCAGAATCATTACTTGATAAAATTATTAGGAATATTAAGTGGGATTGTATGTGTGCAAGAGCCTAATAATACATGCCGGGTACTTGGTTTTTAAAAAAACCATCACAGAATGTGGTTCATTGCTGAGCCAACAACTGATGGATAGTCATGATTTGAGTTTGCGTTCTCTCGCCCCAAAGGAGGATGAGGACTTGCACCACAGAGATGGGGATCCCTGTTAATTTCTGCTGCCAGGCAGGTGCCAAAATTGTGTGATGTAGCCTGGCTTTTAAAAAAAAAGGTGCGTGGGGGGGCAGTTAGTAGCAGAGCAGCAATAGTGCTGTTAGTAGCAACAGCAGGAGAAACAGTAGCCCGGACCACAGCCATGTGTCTGACATTCAGAGACATGAAGCCCAGAAACCTCATCCCCACCTGAGGTGTGGCCCTCAGGCTGCCAGCTTGTGCCTCCTGGGGACCACAGTTTAAAGATGCTTGGGTCTATCGGCCTCTTGCTCATTATGTGACTCTGGAAAAGTCAGTGAGCCCCCTCGAGCCACCAAGTGGAAATAAGCCACGGCCCACAGCTCACAGATGGCACTTATATCGGCTACAGTGTGTCAGGTTCCGAGTAAGTCCTGAGTTCTTCTTGCAGAAACAATTCCGAGTACAATGAACAGGTGGCGAGGGCGATGGTGAGATAACAGCCCAGCAGACAGCAGGGATGGGGGAGTCCCCTTTGGTGAATATCCGAGTGTACGTTTGAAGACGATTAATGAAGCTGTGTGTCCCCTGGGAGATGAAGCCTGGCTAACACTGCTTTTCTGCAGGTATGTTGAGAGATGGGAACTCTGGGAGAGACAGGGTCAGACTCATCCCAATGGGGAAGGCACAGGCGGCTTGAGTGTAGTCTCCTGGGTGCCCCTGGCCAGGTGTAACTAACTCACAGATGTGTCCCCAGAGGACACAGAGCTGGAAAGCCTGCCCTCTTCCTGCTGCAAAAGAAACACACGAGGTTTTATGGTTGTGGCTGAAATATTGCTCATGTTTATTGAAAAGGCAAAATGTGGTGCATCTGTAGAGATCCCGCTCCCCCAGCTCTCCAAGCATGGGCTGCAAATCACCCTTAGGTCTGTCCTTCCCTTGGGTGACAGCAAAACTGCTAGAATGAAAATGTCCCAGACAAGAAACAGGAAAACGCACCCTCTATGGCACCACACTGTGAAGAATAAAGTGCTGGTGGAGTGCGGCCATGAGGAGCCTCTGAGCAGAAGTCCCCATGCTGTGCAGTCCGGGGTGCAAATGTCTCCCCGAGGCAGCAGCCTGCCACCAAAACTCAGGGACAGGCTGCTCAGGCCCCAGATGAGCTGCTAGAGCAAAAAGGATGTGGGTTTTCAAAAGGCAGTGGATGGAAATCTGACACTAATGCCATTTCCAACAGAGAGGACGGTGTGACGGGGCCCTGTAGTTTTGGAGGTGGTGGGGTGCCTCTGGGCAGCATCCCCTGTGGAATTTATAGTGTTGAGATATCTGAGATGCTGTTCAGGCTTTTCCCACCTGGGAACGTGGTTCGATGAAACATGACTAGGCCCATAAAGGCACATCTCCTTTAGATTAAAGTGAGCCTTAGGAATCCACACTCTGGGTAGCTGGTGTGGGAAATCAGGTGTGACTCTTGTTTAATTTCCTGCCACCCCACTCCCTGACCTGTGATGAACTCAGTAAGTCTTAACGGCCTTAGAAGGTTCCACGACCTAGCTTGAGACCACTCCTGCACACTGATGGTTGTCCGGCTGCGCACAGCTGGGACCACACTGCGGCTCTTCTAAGACAAAGGCAGAACCCCTTGAGTTCTTGGGCCACTAGAGAGTCTAAAATGTCCTTTCCCTATTAAGTGCACTTGGCAAGGCTCCTCCTGGAAGCCAGGGGCAGGCCCCAGGCAAGCACGTGGCACTGGGGGTACTGGAGCACTGGGTGGAGGACCAGGCTGGGGAGAGCGAGCAAGACTTGCCCTGGAGCCAACTAGAGTCTACCAACTGCAGAATAAAATACTCTGTGCTCAGCCACGCCCGCCCTCCGTTTCTGCTCGCTGGCTGCGCGAGGCTGGCGCCCAGCTAGCCCCGCAGGTAGGGGGCCCCCCGCGGGCTCCCGCCCCAGGGCGTTGATGTGTGGAAGCGCGCCCGCTGCGGCCACCAGCTTCTCGCTGAGCTTGTGGTTGAGCAGCTCCAGGTGGCGGCCGTTCTTCCGCGCCTGCCGCAGGGACCGCTTCACCTTCTTCACCCGCTCCCGCAGCTGCCTGTTCCGCTTCTCCAGGGTGGCCACCTTCTGCTGCAGCTTCTTGACGCGGTCCTCCTCCTCAAACAGGGCCTTCTGCACCGAGGAGCACATGAGCTGGGGCAGGAAAGGCCGGGAGAGGAAGGTGAGTTGCAGAAAACCTCCCGAGGAATGCTCCCCAGTGGCCCCCACCCCAGGGCAAGGACGGCCTCATTCCCCCTTCTTGCTGTCACCCTGTGAACCCCCAAGTGAACCCAGACAGGGAGCCCCTCTTTCGCTTTCTGTATTGGGTGCCCTAGGTAAGTTTATTTTGAAAGACACGCCGTGGCCCGTCTTTTCCCTCGCTTACCAGTTCGCACTGCAGGGAGGCCTTGCGGGGGCATGTGACTCTCCACATTTTCCTCCTGTTCAGCAGTTCTGACCGTTAAATTCTAATCTGGGTCTAAAACACTTTCCAGGAAAGCCATACCTTGAGGATCACCTTGTTGGAAGGGAGTACTGGATCTACAGAAGGCCTTCGGCGTATTTCCATCTGAAGGGCTTTGCCTGTATGGAGGCGCACGTCCCCGCGTTCTGGAAACCTTTCCAGTCATCGCGGGATGGGCTGAAAGTGTCTCTTTGGAAAACTGAATTTTGGTTTCTTAGCTAAGCCACCCTGGTTTCTTATAGGAAAAGAGAAGATATTCTAAATATTTGTCATTCCTACAAGGAGGACAGTGCTCCAATGATCCAGTAAGTAAAAAACACAAAATCCAGAGCAGGAAGATGTGCAAAAAATATGGACAGTCCACAGGAAAGGGAAAATAATCTCTCCCAAATGTGGGAAATGCTTAGTCCTACCCTTAAGATGAATGCAAAGTAGATCCACAATGAATTGCTTTCTTCCACAAAATCCAATTTTGATTTTACTCTTTGGTAAAATCAGAGTCAGGATTTGGGGAAGTGGGCATGCTCATGTACTGTGGGTAGAGTGTAAACTTGTCTAAAGAGCAGTTTGTATCAAAATGAAGATAGCATGTATCCTTTTATCTGGTCTTTCTGGGACTTCATCTGATATAAATACACATGTGGGAGTATTTATTTTATAGATACATATATAAAAATATATACATATATAACAAACACTCCTGTTACAAGAAGGCTAAGGAATGACATCAGCATTAGGACCATGTAAGACATCCCTCATTCCACCCCCTCAAAAAAAAATTGGCATCTATCCATGAAGAAAAATGACTGAGAGAACTGTGGGGTCCACCAAGGGAGGAGTCTTGACCCCACCACCACGTATCCATGACGTCCTTGCTGGGGACCCTGCAGTTGTCCGTGAGCTGCCTCCAGACCCTCTCAGGCAAAGGACCTCAACAGATATTTCTCCAAAGGCGATAAACAAATGGCCAACAGGTAGAGGAAAGGTGCTGCAGATCACTGTGACATCACATATGTCTGGTCTAATTATAGTTATCCACCTGTGACTAAGAAAAAGATGGCGTTTTAGTGTAACACTGCTTGGGTAATGTATGCTTTAGGCTCTGGGATACACTGGCCTCAAAATGGGTTGTTAAATTACTCCACCATTCTCCACTTGGAACTGTTTTGCCAGAGAAGTGGGAAATGGGAAGAAATACCATTTATACAAGCCTTTTTGAAAGCCCATAATGAGGAGGGCAGTAAATCAGATTGATGGTTCAAAGGAAAGTAGAGAAAGAATATAAAAATGAACAGAGAAAGTACCAGACAAGTGAGGGAAGAAAGAAAAAAAGAGGAAAGACAAGCACCTTCCGATGTCACAGTCGCCCAAGGAACCACAGACGAGGAAGGCACTGGCTGACGGGGCCCGGGGCTCTCGGCCGTGTGAAAGGCCCATAACAATTGCCACCCAAGAGCCTCGGGTACAACTGCCAGGGGTGTCTCAACTAGTGCACTTTCTGGGGGGATACTGGCAGAAACTTCTGTTCCAGTACCAATGACGCAACTGCTGTTACAGCCTCTGGAATGCAAATTTTGAGAAAGGCAATAAGTAATTTGGAAACAAATAGTAATCTTAAATATCTTCCATACAAGTTAGTAAAAATGTTTAGCTCCCTAGACAGGCAACTAATTAGTAACAGGAAAATATATGGAAGTATGACTCTCACTGGTAAATATACATAGTAAAATTCAGAATAATCTAAGGTCATAAAGGCAGTGGATCAATCACATAAAAAGCCTGTATGAAGGTTAAAAAATAAAAGTAAAAATAACTATCACTATGTATAGCTTGTTAATGAATACACAAGATAAAAAGATGTATATTGTGACATCAAAAACATTGGGAAGTAAGTTTTCAACTTAAAATGGGCTGTTATAAGTTGTTTTGTATAAACGTCCTGGTAATTACAAAGCAAAAACCCAATATACAAAATATGAAGAGAATGATTCTAAGCAGACTGCTACAGAGGATAACCAAACAGCAAAGCACACGAGAAGAAAAAAGGAATTACAAACCAACCAGAAAGAAATTTAAATGGCAGTAAGGAAAACTATAAAGAATTATGTTCAATGTAAATGGACTAAAATCTCCAGACAAAAGACTATATAGAATAGTTGAATGAATATAAAACATGAGCCATCTATATATCTGGAGGGAACTCTAGTTTGAAAAGACACCTGCACCCCAATGTTCACAGCAGCACCATATTCAATAGCCAAGACATGGAACCAACCTAATGCCCATCGACAGATGCATGGATAAAGAACTTGTGGTATATTTATACAATGGAATACTACTCAGCCATAAAAAATAAAATAGTGCCACTTGCAGCAACATGGATGGACTGAGAGATTATCATACTAAGGGAAATAAGTCAGACAGAGAAAGCCAAATACATTAAATCACCCATACGTGGACTCCAAAAAAAGACAAGGACACTAACTCATCTACAACACAGAAGCAGACTTGCAAACATAGTAAATCTTACAGTTACCGGTGGGGAAAAGGGGAGGAAAAGGATAAATTTGGGAGTTTGAGATTTGCAAATATTAACTACTATATATGAAAATAGATTTTTAGATATAAGACACTATGTTCAGTATCTTGTGGTAACCTTTAATAAAAAGAATATAAAAATGAATATATGTCTGTGTATGCATGACTGGGACACTGTGCTGCGCACCAGAAATTGACAAATTGTAACGGACTGTACTTCAGTTTTAAAAAATGAAATAAAAATTCCATGGCCCATCTATATTCTGCCTGAAAGAGACTCACTTCAGTTCTAAGGACACACAGAGACTGAAAGTAAAGGGATGGGAAAAGATATTCATACAAATGGAAACCACAAGCAAGCTGGGGTAACTGTATTTCTATTTTAAGAAAAACTATAACAAACAAAGGTCATTATGTAATGATAAAGGAATCAGTTCATGAGGATATAGCATTTATAAATATTTATGCACCTAACATAGAAGCCTCTAAATATTTAAGCAAGTATTAACAGACCTAAACAGAGAAGTAGACTGCAATACCATAATAGTAGGGGGCTTCAGTACCCCCCCAACAGCGGCTAGGTCGTAAAGAAACATGGGGTTTAAACTACATGTTAGACCAGACAGACTTAATATTTACAGAACATTCCATCCAAAAGCAAGAGAATAGAGATTCTTCTCAAAGGCACAGGAAACATTCTTCAGGACAGATGATATGTTTGGTCACAAAACAAGTCTTAATAAATTAGGAGATGGAAATCTTATCAAGCGGCTTTTCTGACCATAATGGTGTACACCTAGAAGCCAATTACAAAGGAGAACTGGAAAATCCACAAATATGTGAAGATGAAGCATGAACCTGAACAACCAAGCAGTCAAAAGAGAAATAAAAAATAAAACTGTAATTTACGGGATGCAATAAAATCAGCTGTAAGAGGGAAGTACGTAGTGATAAATGCTTACATGATGAAACAAGAAAAGAGCTCAAATAACGACCTTATACCTCAAGGAAATAGAAAAAGAAAAAATGAAAAAATGAAGCCCAAAGTCAATAGAAGGAAGGAAATAACAAAGATCAGAGCAGAATAAATGAAATAGAGACTTAAAAAAAAAAACAGAAAAAGATCAGTGGAACTAAAAGCTGGTTTTCTGGGGAAAAAAAAAGTAAATCTTTAGCTAGATTCAGCAAGAAAAAAAAGAGACAAAATGAGAAATGAAAGGAGATGGATACATTCCTAAAAACATACAACCTACACACACTAAATCATAAAATAAAACAGAAAATCTGAACAGACCAATTACTAGTAAAGAGATTGGATGAGTAATCCAGAACTTCCCCTGAAACAGAAGTCCTGGACCAGATGGCTTCAGTGGTGAATTCTACTAAACATTTAAAAGAAAAATTAATACCAGTCCATCTCAAATTCTTCCAAAAAACAGAAGAGAGAACACTCCAGAAATCATTTTACAAGGCCAGCATTACCTTGATACCAAAACCAGACAAGGACACCACAGAAAAAAAAAAATCACAGGCCAATATCCCCGATGAACACAGATGCAAAGATCCTCCACAGAATGCTAGCAAACTATTTTCAAATAGGATCATACACCATGTTCCAGGGGGGATTTATTCCAGGGACACAAAGATGGCAAGTCAGTTAATGTGACACACCACATTCACAAAATGAAGGGTAAAAATCATATCAACGGATGTAGAAAAAGCATTTGAAAAATTTAGCATCCTTTTATGTTAAAAGCTTGGGTGGAGGATTACGTCTTGATGACAGAGCCCTCACTGATGGGATTAACATCCTTATAAAGACATTTTATAGAGAGTGTTGCCCCTTCTGCCATGTGAAGATACAACCAAGAAAAAAAAAACCGTGACCTAGAGGAGGGCCCTCACCCGTCACGCCAGCTCCCTGACTTTGGGCTTCCCGCCTCTAGAACTGAGGAAAAAAACTTTACAATAAAATAAAGTATTAAATATTAAATAATAAATAATAAGTAATAAAATAAAAATTCTGTTATAAGTCACCCAGTCTGTGGAATTTTGCTATGGCAGCCGGAACAGACTAAGATCCCAGGTACACCGTAAATATCCCCTAGATGTTACTCATTATTATGAGATAGAGTTCATTCTCCTAACACCC